AGCGATGGGCTTGCAGGGCTATATTCATCCTGCTGTTGTCCAGTAGAGATAATTGACATAACGTTCGCTTAACCCTGAGTTCAGCNGATTTTGTTTGTTGCAGTTAATATTGAGGACGTCCTCTATCCGATGACATGAAAAGCGATGGGCTTGCAGGGCTATATTCATCCTGCTGTTGGCCAGTAGAGACAACTGACAAATCGTTCGCTTAACCCTGAGTTCAGCGACTTTTTCTGAGCGATCGTGTGCTTTCCACGATATCCGGATTTCATAACTTTGTTACTGGGACGAGGCGGCTCAATGAGCTCAGCGGATCACCAACAGATGATCTGGTGAGCTGATTGTTTTGAGGTCGATAGAACGTCGGTCTTTACGTCCGCTAGCCGTATCTTCACAACTTCATGCAAACTTTAATCGAAGCTTTGGCCTACGCTTGTTGGACCTTAGTTCGAGTACAGGCCAGTTGTTAATATTAACCGACTACTGCAAAGTGTCGATGAGCGGTCAACATTGACTCTGATAATATATTTCTGTCGAGGATCTGGTCTGAATCTAATCAAAATCTTAATTGATGCTGTGTATCAAAACGATGTGGCATCACTCCTTTTACAAATCTTTTGTTTATTAAGCATCATATGCACAAATTAATTGATGATTGAACATTGGATAATCAGTGATCACCATAAATATTAAATCTCAATCAATTTCTGGATTTTCGAGGTCTTTTCGTAACGTAAATGAAACGTCTTCGGGTTGGTTGAGTCGTCTCTTCCGGATATCCTGTGATTATTTCCTTTGGTTCTTCATTTGTGGTAGTTTCTTCGTGTGACGCTTGAGTGACGAATAGTTCCGATTCATTCGTTTCCATTGCATATGCGTCGTTTTCCAATGGTGACGAATCGCCGCTAAATGTACTGCTGCTCTTTTGAAGTGGAACATGACTGTTAACTGAAAAAGAAGATGATTATTTTACCACCAGGCCATGCCGCATACAAATCTCTTATGGGTAATCTACAATATCAATAATTCTAATTTTATGTTTCCAGTTGAGCACAGCTCTGTAGCATCCGATCGTAGGAATTGTTTAGTGGGACAGGATTGTCAGCTTAAAAAAGAAGGAGCAGTTTTTACAGTCACACTAAGTACTCATTACAGCGACACTAAAGAATATTCTGCACAAAGTTCGTGCATCTGATGTGCCAACTCCAAAATTATCACCTCAACAATACGACAGTCAATTGGGCTTTGTCATGAGGGTGTTGAAGAAGATATTTGCGAATTATTGAGTCACTAGGTTTTGCTCAGTTTTATTGCGCCTATAGTGAATATTTTGATCTGAAATCCCTTTCGAAGTATGACAATGATCACTCTTCACAGTGAGCAGAAAATCATTCGTTCGCAAATCCGAGTATGCTGAACTTACTTTCAGGTTTTCTTCTGATAGAACGTTGACTGGCATCGTTACCATTCAGGAATGCTGACCTGATTTGTTCATCAAGCGACAGCCGCTGATTGTTCTGTTTATTGTAGCGATCACTTTTGAATGGAACCTGTGAACGTCGACCAATAATCAAAAATAATGGAACGGAAACGTTTTAAAGGCTGTAAACTTCTGGTGATTTGAATGTGATCATTAAGTGGAAGTGAGACATGCGTAAGTGAGTAACTGTGCTTAGAATTTGCAGTCAGGGATCTATGAAAACGAGTTAAGCGATAAAAGAATGGTCGAGACATCAATTAAGCAGCCGAATAGTGCACTATCGAAAGAATCATGCCAAAAAATAATAAAAGTGATATTCAGTGATTTGTAAATGACAGACATGCTTCTGTTCATTTATATCTTGTTACTGCTTGCTGGAAAAAATGAATCGATTGACAATGTAATCGTGAATAAGGATGACTATGGTGCAGTAATTTTCCTAGTGTAATTTATTCGTTGCAGCAGGATGAGCAAATTCAAATTTGAACCTTCATTACAGAAGCTTCTCTCGCCAGCGTGGTTGAGATAGATTCATTAGGGTCGTCTTCCTTTGATTCTTCAGTCACAACATGTGCTACCTCGTCCTCTGACATTCCCAATTCATTGGTACTGATGACTCGATCATCGTCCAAAGTCAATTTTATCGATGGCTTCATAGCATCCTTGTATTCAACATCATCCATATCAACGTCATGCAAATTGTCCTCATCCATTGCTAGATTGCTCTCCGAACTCACGGAATTGTCTGTATCTTCATCACTGATCACAGTTTCCAGAATATCCTTTAGCTCTAATGCCACATTGAATAAGGTTCGAGCAATAACTGGCATTGTTGGGATTTC